GGAAAAATACAACTCGACATGTGTCTCTCACAACCTGTGAAGAAAGGATTCTCCCTGCTCCAAATATACATATACGGAACCCTCTATATCGAAGAAACCCCCACAACTAGAAGCACCTTATTCATCAACTTCATTAGTAACTCTTTGGATTTGATTCATTCTCCTACTAAGAAGAAGCATAAAAGGCGGATATTAAATGAAAGACATTGTCCTACATGCCACTGCTAGAAATGATGGCACTTATACCAATACTCACAAGAAATTCACTTAGGAGGATCCTTAACTTGCAAAATCTCTTGTCGAGTCACGTTGCACGATGAGAGAAAGACAAATATACCATCAACTCCATACAAGTTGATAATTTCTACCATTATATAAACATTAACATGACACAAATATATAAGGTTTTGTCTTCTACATTCTATATATATACAAAATAACATTGTATATATTCTCTAAATATAACAAAAAACATACTAATAAGCCTATTCAAACCGGATTCTCTAAAAGATATACTATTAAGTTTAATTAGGCCAAACACCTCTCATTGTAAGCTAACTTAATCATCAAACAATCCTTCAAATATTAGAGAAGGGCTCAATTTTATAGCTATATGACATAAAATATAAAGACAATGATGAATCTCTACCTTAAGATCAAATTAAAAGAAACAACATCTAACTCGTTCAAATAAATCCGAGGATCACGACCTCATTAGTATTATTGTCTATGGAAACAAAGTAAAAAGCCAATCTCTAATCATTTTATTTCTCTATTTCTAAATTTCTACATGGTTGAGAACCAAAAAACTCCATCACAATCTACGTTGTTTGACTTCACTAGCCACTAATGCTCCATTAGTCAATGTGTTATAGTCTGTAACGATGCGTTGAACCGTTAACTAAGGCTTACATATTGACTCACAAGCAAATTATTTCTTTTATCACTCTATTGCCAACACCACAAACATAACAAAGGCTTCTACATTTTTTATTCCATTGACGAATCATTATAGACAAACCCACCACCTTAAAAAGATAGCCTCGTTAGTCATCCAACAAAGTTACGAGTCATATATAATAGTGAGGAGCGAGAAAAAAACATTACTACTTTTTAGATCATAAAAGTCGTTGTCCTAGTAAACAACGAGCTACCCAAGGCTCTCAAAAGAAAAGAGAATCCTAAAAGTGCCTAAATCGGGCATAACATAGCCTAAAACTAGCATAAAAACCAATAAGGGGATAGCTTCTTATCATCTCAAACCTTTTTTATGAGCCCCAAGTCTAAATGTTAAAGGGAAGATCAATGGTCGGTGCCACACGGTAAAAGTCGAGCCACTTACAGATCACAAGCTTCAACCCCTCTACATGCTCGTATATCCTAAACACCAAACTCGAGAGATATTTATCCACTAGGAAAATGAACTTGGACATCTATGATGGCACAAATGACCCTCGAGAACATGTCTAAAATATTTTAGAGAAATCTTGAGTTGTTCATTTAGAGCTACAATGTCATGTGGAGTGGTTAGACCTTAGTTTTGAATACCTCTTCTCCTAGTCCGTGGCTCACTTCTTCACCAACATTCACATCGAGAAATTTTAGAAGACTTATTTTTTATGTGTCAAAGAGAGCGAGAAAGTACTTAAGCTTATCTCTCTTTCTTTTATAAAGAAATGTTATAAATCTATGGACTATCGAAACATGTTGTGATTGAAGACCTCATAATAGGCATCACCAATCCTAATCTATAGAAAAAAGATCTACGTCCTCCCTATTAGAAACCTCTATCAAGTTAAGAAGATAGTTGAAAGCCACATCTAGATAGAAAAAATGATGGTCACCCGTCAAGTTCAATCGTACTTTCAACAATTAACAACGAAAATGAAAAGGGAAAAACATTCATCAATCATCTCTAATCCAAAGAAAAATCCCGGAGGACCTATGTATAACCACCTAGTCTTCTTAAAACTTTAGATAACTCCCCTAAACACCTCCCAAATAGAGGTGATTTCTTTTATAAAAAGGAAACCCAATGTTATATGCCTTACTCTATTGAGAGGACCACCACATCTTGACAACTAAACAAGATACTACCTATACCACTAAAATTTCAACTATGACACAAAAAGCTGGTATTTTCTAAATAGAGACATAAAAAGGTTAATATTCGGGAGATTTCTCAAGCGAGTTCATTAAGGCGAGATGAAAGAAGACTAGATCGAGCCATCGCTAAACAGGATATACCTAAAGACGGTATCCTCTAAATCAATGTGATTTTAAGGAAGCAATCACTAATAAATCCTAATAAAAGGAAAAAAAAGCTCTCTTGATCCTCACCATCAATAAAAAACCTACTCTATAGCACAAGCCTATCATCTTTACTCGGTATAGATGCAGAGGAAATATCATTCCCTTATAATGATGCCATGATAATCTTAATGATGGTCTTCAACTAAAAGGCCTATTAGCTCTTCATAAACCTAGACAACACTACCAATGCCATGTTAAAAAAAGCTTTCAATCATATAAAGATGGTTCCCTCAAAACTCTAGCTAGTTGGCATGCTATTAAAAAGGATAGAAAGAGGACATGCCCTTATAAAAGAAGTTATTCGAGTCTTAATAAACATGAGCACCTCTCTTTAATATGTGACATCATACCCTATCCTCATAATTATAGAGATGAACTTGATATACAACGTTATATTTGACAAAACTTTTATCTATGAAATCAATGCTGTCATCAACACTCATTATCTAGTGCTAAAACTCCCAACTCTTGAAAAAAAATGCCATAATCGGAGGTAGCTAAGTCATCTTATAAATATGCTCCACGTTCAGCATGAAAAAGGCCAAGAAATGATGGAAAGACCAAGTAGGAGAGGACGAAGAAACAAAGAATGAAGAGCATCTCGGTTCCTTTAAACAATCTAAAGTGGTCTAATAAGCAAACCCTATGTATCAAAATATATATTTATTTTGAAAAAGACCAAGAAATGATGGAAAGACCGGGTAGGAGAGGATGAAGACACGAAGAATGAAGAGTATCATAGTTCCTCTAAACAATCTAGAGTGGTTTAATAGCAAACCCTATGTATCAAAATATATATTTATAAAGCTTCCACTTTATGAAAATCACCAAGTTAGATTATGCTCGAAGAGCATTAAAAATACAAACATAAAAGAGAAGAGAATCCCCAAAAAGAACATAAAAAATCACCCTACATAAAGATATGAGTGCCATAGCCACCTCAAGAATGAAAAGAGACAAGTTTTTTATATATTCATCGGAAAATGAGTAAGTTTCTAGGGTTGCATAAGAATCATAGAAAAAAACATTTTGTTTTGGTATAAAGACACCAAAAGCTTTTGTAAAAGCTAAAAATCTCTACATTTTAGAATCAAAATTCATCATCTTCTATCTAAAAAATAAATAATCTCAAACAACACAATTGAGAATGAGTAAATCCCTATGATTAGATAATTATGAGAAAACTATTGTGTCTAGGTCTAAAAGAACTATAAATCTTCATAAAAGCTAAAATCTCTCTTTAAACTAAGGTTTTTTTCTAGGAACAAAAATACAAAGTTGGTCTTATCTAGGTTTGAAAATGCTTAAAAGCAAGAAAGAAAAAAGACCCTAAATAATCACTAAAATGTTGCTAGTTCAAAAAACTCAAAGACATCCTAACTTACCATCCGGCTTATAAAACCATCACATAATGGCCTAAAAGAAAAGTGATCATCATTAGGGGAAAAAACAATGACAAAGTTCTATCAAAGTTAAAAAAAAAAAAAAAAGGAATGTTAGATCCTATGCATCAAAAATAAAAATAAAAAAAATATAGAGTTCCATGCTTGGGAAAAATAGCTAGAAAAATCACAAATTTAATAAAAAATTGACATACATAGTTGATCCTACAAAACTAGGACTAATGGTAATAATAATAATAATAATAAAAAAACAAAGCTTAAAACCATAGTCTAACTCTACCAAGTCAATAAAATTTCCCTATATACCTTATTAGGGCCCAGGACGACCATTAAGGGGGAAAAAAGAAGAAGAAGAAGCGAGGAGTAAAAGCGGGAGCAACATGATTAGCATAGGCACTAAAAGACTCTTCTAGGAACAAAGAAAAAAAAACATTAGACATGATGTTTACTCTCAAGTGAAAATCCTAGGTGAGAGTGGGAAGAGAGTTTGATTCTATATTGTCTCTATAAATCTCATTAAAGGTAAAAGGGTCGAGGGATTGGTAGCCATCCGAAATGAATTGACCTTCATTAGCGGTAATAACCCTTTTTAGATACAACGAGTCATAATTAGGAATTTAACTCTTGCCAAACATACCGGAGAAATTGACTAAAATCCCTTTATTATTATTAAAGAAATATAGATTCACCATAGCTCCATACACCCTATTAGTTCCAAACCCGAGTGTGCTCTTAAAGCTGGGCAATAAACTCATCGAGATGACTCTTAATTTTCTTTAAGAAACTAAATCTCTTCAAATTATTATATTTTTTCTTCGGCTAAGATATTCACGCTCCTTCAATCTAAAACTAAAAGAGTATGTTACCTTCTTTAAAGCCCATGCTAAAGATAGCTCCCGAGTAACAACTACCTCTCGTTTGGTGAACATAGTGTTTAAAGAGTCATTCAACTCTCTTAATTACCATTCCATCTCTTTATGAATGGAAGCATGCTCCTTTTTTAAGGCTCTCTAAAGTTCATAAGCCTAAGCTTGGACTACCTGTGGAAAAAATGACATCAAAATCATGACAAATATAATAATTTAAGAAATAAAAAGGAAAAAAATACTTATAGCCACATATATTTTCATCTCTTTTCTCATATTGTTAGCCAAAAAATATCCATCCAAGGTTGACTCTTCCTTAGAAAGCAATGAAGATAACCAAAGATAATGAGAAGTCTTCTCTATTTTCTTATTCCATAAGATGGAACAGTCTCGAAAAATGTTCCTCACCGAGTAAAGGATGAACCTTAAACCCATAACCATAGATGACTCCTTGGAAATAAAAGAGTTAATTACCACCTCATTTCCTAAATGCCTAAAGGAAAGAATGCCCATTCCGGACAAGAAAAAAAAATCCTTTATGACTAAAGGAGAGACAACCACTAATATAGAAGGAGTGACCACCTCATCGGAAGGACGAGCTAGAGGTACGGGCTCGGATATGGAAAAAACCTTGAGTTACACTCTAAAAGAAATGCTTGCCACCACCGTTAGGAAAGAAGAAGCCATCTTTCTCTACTTATTCACATGAGCCTAGGCACTGCCCAAGTCCACCCTTATACTAATAGCAAGTCTAGGAGAAAAGAAAGATCTTAAACTACCAAAAATTCTCTTATGACGAGCATCTTGTCTTAGTTGAGTTTGCTCTGTTTAAAATAAAAACATTCCAGGTGATTAATTGCCAAAAGGAAGAAATGTACATAAAAAACCAAGCTTAAAAATGAACAAGGAAAACTCAACATAATTACATTACATGCACTCACCCAAGTTTAACACTAAAGACTCCCTCTAACCTCCTCACTCAACTCTAAAAGTAAAAATATTCAATATAAGAAGGAGGGATGTCATTGTTGGTCATTTTAAAATTCCTCTAACAAGGAGAATATCCCCATATGGTTGAATTCCTTTCATGAGAGGGTGGTCTTTCATCTCGAACGATGAGCCATTCTTCTTACCAATCACCAAAAACATTAACACTCGTCAATAAATACCTTTTTCAAAGGATCGGACTCTATAGGAAGTAGGTTATATACATAGGATCAATTATTCCTCTATTTGCTTTCCTCCTTCAAATAGAAAGAAAATATGATAGACCTTAAGGTTAAAAACATTTTTAGATGAAGATAAAGATTATTGACGATCATGAGTATGCCCAATCTATCGAAAAAAATAGCATAAACTTATGCTAAAATAGTAAGAAAATTCCTCAAAGAACTAAAAAAAGGAAGCTTAACCTTATATTCCATCATACAAGTAGGAACAATAATCTTTATGTTCCTACCAAAAGTTCCATAAGTCATTTATCTCATTCTATTAATGGAATAGAGAATGACAACACAACAATCCAACCCTAATGCACCATCAAAAAGCTTTAATCATGTCACTAGCTACCATACTAAGACCTCTGTCGGTGTCCATTGGCATGAGCCTTGGCATCCTAATAGGAGAAGGGACCAACCTTATCCTTACAGGAATAAAAAACTCCTCAACACTAGTGTTTGGCCTTCCAAAGCATTAGGACTAGCCCATTGGTTACTAAAAGCAAAACTTGATATCTCCTTAACTTTCCTTAAGTCTTATATATATATATATATATATATATATATATATAAATAAGAAAAGAAAAGAAGTATTACCTATAGAGATTTCAACAAGTATGGCTCAAAAAGAATGCCTTTGCCAAAAAAAGAAATGTGACGAAAGAGAATTGTCAAGATTTTACCATAAAAGAAGAGAAATATATGTAACTATAGACACTCGTCAAAGATAGACTCTCTCCAACTTATTAAAAAACTCTTACAAAAGTAGATAAAGCACAAATTGAAGAAAGTAAAAGGAAGACTATAGTTAGTGGCCATTTATATATGTGAAGAAGAGAAAATCCTCCATTAAGGATACTTAGAGGCCCAAGCCTAATATACACTACTTTTTAATAGAGACCAATCATTTATTGCCAAATGTTCTACCGGGGTAAGAAGGCAAATAGAAATAAGAAGAATTATGACGGGTTTTAAACACTTCATTCCCCACAAACCTCCACACATATGATAAATTAGACTTCTCATGTTAGAATATAATTATCATAAGTTGTAAGCATTTAATGAGACTTCACAAATCAACCATTATCTAATCTAAAAAAGATAAGCAAATAGTTGACAAACCTTTGGAATTTCACCAAGAATTACCCAATAAAACAGTCATTGAATGACTATAATTTTGTTAAGGATTACCTAGAGACACAATCATCAAATGACTATTATTTTCTCAAGGATTACCTAAAAACACTCATCAAATAACAATGATTATTTTGAGGAAAACAACCATCAAACGATAAGAATTTTGCTAAAAATTATTCGGATAAAGTTTGATTCTTTAGTAAGTCTTTAAGGCTAATGATGTACTAAAAACATATAGCCCAACGTGTGTCCCTCACAAACTACGAAGACGGGGCCCACATAATCCAAATATACATTTACAAAATCCTTATATAAAAAACCCCTACAATTAGGAATACCCTATTCGCTAACTTCATCGACGACTCTCCGGACTTAGTTCATTCTCTCACCGAAAAGAAGCATAAAGAACATATATTAAATGAAAGACATAACTCTATACACCATTCTTGGAAATGATGGCTTTAATTTACACTAATACCCATAAGACATTTACCTAATAGGATCTTTAACTTATAGAAGTTTTAATCGAATTTGTTGCACAAAAAAAAAAAAAAACAAATCCTTTTGTCCTCAAGAGAAAGACGAATAAACCCTCAACTCCATGCAAGTTGATCATCCTTGCCACTATATAAAAGTTAACATGATATACATATGTAAGGTTCGCTTTCTACACTCTACATATATATAAAATATCACCGCATATCTTATCTAAATATAACAAAAAACACATTGCTAAAACTATTTAGGCCAAATTCGTCAAAAGATATATTATTAAGTCTATTCAAGCCAAACACCTCTTTTCGTATGCTATTTTAGCTATCAAAAGATTCTTTAAACACTACAAGAGAATTTTATTTTATGGGTACACACCATAAAATGCCAAAAAAAAGATGAATCTTTACCTTAATATCAAACAAAATAAAAATACCCAAACGTTTAAATAAATCTAATGATCACAACCTCGTCAAAGTGATTTGCAATATAACTATGCTCAATTTTAATTTATGCACGGAAGGATTGCGTGCAAATAGTCCATAGCAATTGAAACAAAAAAAGACTAAACTATTGAAAAAAAGCGAACTTGACGAACAATTATCCACTACCTTGGGAAATTATACTACTTCTTCTATTAAAGGTGGAATTCATGATTATTGAGGGTGGATCTCAATTGTAAATAAGAGAAGGTAAGAGTATAACTAGAAATTAGGACGAAATAGGTTTTAAAAACTTTACATTTTATTCTTATAATTTTAAAATATCCACGGAATAAGAAATTGATGTTATTTCACATATCGCCACTTTAAGTTAAGGTTTATTGCATAATAATAATAATAATAATACATATTTTGTGCCCTACGCATTATGTATTATTTCTAATTTTATTCTCTTTTTAATTTCAATTTTATCCTAATTTTGATCTAATTTTTAAAAGTTCTAGTTCGATTTATAATAGAGTACAAGTTATTATATACCTAACAATTTTCCCAATGTTAAATATTTTAAATTTTGTTAATGATGATTTACATTGGCAATCAATCAATTAATCACTATAGCAAGATATTTGAATTTTTATAGTTTTGACAAATCCTAACTTGAGTCATGTTTTGTTTCAAAAAATTAAAAATTAAAAGATAAAAATCATGATTATATCTTGAACAATTTTAAGAATGTACTTCTAAATCAACATGGTTCATTAAGAGAAGTAAAATAATAATATAAAATATTTTACGTATGAAAAAAAAGATAATATTTTGTTTGATGAAAAAATCTAAAATATCATTTAGATAATTGAATGTGAATGAAAGAGGAGGAAAAAGAAAAAGAAAAAAAACAAACAAAAACAAGCATCCTCATAGAAGGAAAACATAATGGTATTATAAGGATTGGTGTGGCATGGTTACACTATTCTTTTTTTAGTGGATGACAATAATTCAAGATCCTTCTTAGACAACGGGGGATATTAATGCGAATGAACACTCCTCAAAGAAATATAAAAGATGAAACTAATGAGACTAATGCGAGCGACCTAAGAGCATCTCTAATGATACTTTCTACTTTTAGCTAGCATTTTTAATATAAATAAAGAGCATAATTAATTATATAGATTGAAGATCAATGTCCTCTCAAATGCTACTATCTACTTTAATTTTTTATTTTGACAAAATCCATAAAACCCGAGAGATCGTTGATGAGGAGGCTGAGTGATATAGGAAATAGTAATTTTCATTTATGAAATATAAGATAAAGAGTCATTTGGACTCTATAGAATTGATCGATCAAAGACACTTTTTATCTCACTTTTAGAGATAGAGATTATAATAAAAAGAGCATTGAAGATGAAATTTAGGTTAAACCTCTTTATTATAAATAAAAATCTTAATATAAAGAGAATATTGGAGATATTCTAAGGCTTGTAAAAATGGAGAGCTACAAATCCAGAAGGCAAACATGTCCCATTAACATGTCATTTCCTTTGGTCATAAGCGTGACAAGAATAGATAGCACAACCAAGAAACAGAGAAACCAGAAAGGGCCAGTTGAGTTCAGTCCAGTCCAATTGACTGCCTAATTATTATATATTTAAACAGTTACAGTACTTGTTTGTGTTTTATTTTTCCAAGACAAAGACACCCTATGTCCCATGTATGTAGTGTACACGTTGTAAGCCTCTCCTAATATAAATACTCCCTCTGTAGCTCATTAGATACTAACTGTTACTATTCCTTTTTATTTCTTTGACTTTGACTGTAATGAAAGCAAGACAATAGAAGTAGAAGAAGAAGAACAGCAGACAAAGCAAAGAGGGTGCCTTTGCCTTTTTATTTGCAGCTTTCGGCGCTCTTTCTCCTCTTCTTCTTTTACATATTTAGCTTAGCTAATTCCTTCTATCTAGCCTTTCTTTAATTATACTAATAATATTAATACCCTTTATTTCTGAATTTCTTTGCATAAACTATAGTTTTGTAGCTTATAATAGCATATCGTATTACTACAAGAACTAAGCAAATCAACCAAATCTATAGCTGCCAGCTTCTTTTTATTTTAAGTAAGTTTTTAAGCTTGTTTCTTCTTTGCATTTGGTAAAGTTTTTGTCTTTCTAGATCTTTTCTTTCTTGGGTTCAATTTGGTTGTGGGATCTTTGTATTCTATTGTATTGCTTGAACAGTTGCAGATCAAGAATTGTTTTGTTTTTTCAATTTTTTTTGTTATTCTCTTCTGGGTTTGATTTAGAACGTTGTTGTTAGGTTATTCTCATGATCTTTCTGTGCTTATAATTCTCAATCTGTTCCTTAGGAAATGATTTTTTTCCCCATATGGGGTGCAATTAAATATAATTATTTTGGTAGTTGTTTTGTAATAATGAAAAATTCCATAACTGATTTGCTCAAGACATTGATAGCTATTATGTAACGGGAAGTAAGTGATAAGTGGCTGAAGGGTGTATTGATGCTATGTACTGCCATGAAGTGGTAAATGCAAAACCTGTTTAAACTTACGCTGGGTATATTAATTGTGTGTGTAAATGGCAGATAAATTCTTGGCATTAATGTTTGTGTGTATTCAATGTCTCTGACGGTGTTTCCTAGTTATTTTTTAAACTCGGAGTCACGAGAAATGACATATAATTTTGGGTACTTGCTTATGTTGTACGACTCATTTTTGAGTTTGATCAAATAAATCTTAAGAGCTAACATTTTCTGTCAGTACTGTAAGGTTTAGAATTCAAATGAAGCTTGCTTCTGGTTAGCTAAAAGAAAAGAAGTAAATGTTTTAATGACTTGATAAAATGAAAGAACATAATTCACTTTGGTGTCCTGATTTCCAATCAGACAAATCATTATGTGAATTGAGTTGAGTTGGACTAGTGATTGAGCTTAAGCTTTTTTACGAGGAAGATGTGTCTAATTTTTAAGGGCCTCTGCAGGGTTGTAGCACTGTGATCAGGGCAAATTGACCGCATTATGAGTGATCTTCATAGAAGGGTATCAATCAACTGTTTGATCCCTGGTGAAGCCTGATCAGTTCACCTTCTATGCTGTCTATTATAACAGAAACTATGGGCCTACTCTGCAGTAAACAGCGTCGATGTAATGAAGCAGATGCTGAAGAGAATGCACAAGTGAGTTACAGTGGATGAATTGCATGATTTGTACTCTTCTATGAGTATGATACTGGCGATTCTGTATAATCTAGTCTATGATGATAATTATTCCTCATCTATGTTCCTCATTCTTTGTGTAATTCTAAGTTTGCAATTTTAATCTTGTCATTTCCAGGCTGCAGAAATTGAAAGGCGAATTGAACAAGAAACCAAAGCTGAAAAGCATATTCAAAAACTTCTGCTTCTTGGTATGAGCAATTCAAACTTGTTTTTCATTGCATTAATTGTTTGGCATTCATGTTTTGTATTATGTTAATTGTTTGGCGTCTAAAAATGTATGCTTAGTAATTGAAGTTTTTCATGGTTATGGACTTGTATTTAAAGTCTAGATAGTACAAGCACCATAGGAGATCAATTCTGCTTCTGCTTACGCTCATGAGGTGAATTGGATTATTGAATCAGATTCTACTAATGTTATTATTCGGATGAGTATGGAAGTTTCTACTAGGCCTTGGCGTTTTGAAAGTCTTTTTAACCCCTTTAACTCCATTGATGTTTTGATTAGGACTTTGGGTTCTGTTTCTTTCAATCATATTGTTTGGGAAGGGAATGCAGTTGTTGATTCATTAGCCAAATGTAGTCTGCATAGAATCAATGACCTTGTACCTTGGTTATGATCCTTTTCTTTCACTAGTTTTTTGGTACATCACGTGCATGCCTCAACTATGTAATTTAGCCAGCTACCAGCTGGCTGTTTCTCTTATTAATCCAATCTCGATTTTTATCCAAAATAATAATAATATTAATAATAAAATAAATAAATAAAAAAATAAATAAAAAAACACGTTCCATAGGTACTGTGAATGGCTTCCCTGGGAAGGCTCTCTCTCATTTCCCTGACGCACAATTATGAATCAATTCGTTCTTTTATCTGAAAGCTTCGGCTAGTAACAAAGGACTGAGCTATGAGTTCTTAATTGTGTCAGGAAAATTGTTTTTTGCTTGCTGTACATTTAGCTGACGAGCAATTATGAATCAATTTGTTCTTTTATCTGAAAGCTTCGGCTAGTAACAAAGGACTGAGCTATGAGTTCTTAATTGTGTCGGGAAAATTGTTTTTTGCTTGCTGTACAACAAGTAGAGATGATAAAAAGTGGCTGCAATGTAATTGCCCCTGTGCATCTTGTTGCACACTTCTTCTTTTTTCCATTCACGGTGATTCTTATTTTGACCCCTCATGGAGACACTCATAAATTCAGTCTTTTGTTTTCCTATGTTTGGTGTCTGGTTGAGAATATCATCATTTTGGGTGTAAGCCTGCAATTTGAGTTTAGCAATTTTCATTGCATAACTTTGGTACTACCTATTTTTTCAACTTCGGTGGTGCAATACTTTTCTTTCTTTGTTTTATTTATTTTCAAATGATTCAATTCCTTTATCTTTTTTATAGATATTTTTTTTATATCTTTTTTTATTTGGGTTGTTTTTAAAATGACATGATCAATCTCTCATGATCAAGGTGCCGGAGACTCAGGGAAGTCAACGATTTTCAAGCAGGTGAGACGAAACATTTTTTATTTCAAGTGTGAACTTGTGTTTGCCAGCATTGCTGTTTTCTATATCTTTATCTTATGCATGATCTGGATGCAGATAAAACTTTTGTTCCAAAGTGGTTTTGACGAGGCAGAGCTCAAGAGCTATATCTCGGTCGTCCATGCCAACGTCTATCAGACAATAAAAGTATGCAAAACTGGAAAGGGTGTGTTGGTTATTTTCTTTTTTGGCATAATGTAGAAAATATGAAGAGTCAGGCATTGATGGTGAAAATTTTGAATGCAGAAGTGGTAAATTTTATTTTGAAAGTTCATTCTATGTGTTTCTGCAGGTATTGCATGATGGATCAAAAGAACTGGCTCAAAACGAAACAGATTCCTTGAATTATGTTATATCCGAGGAAAATAAGGTTTGAATTCATCATTTCAATGTCTGTTACTTTGCTTTAAGTAAGGTTATTACTTTTGAAGAAACAAAATCAAGGAATATGGTAATGAATAACTGTCTTAACATCTATAAATTAATTTGAGGTTTTTCCTAGACATTTTGCTTCTTTTGCTCGAGGGATCTGATATTACTATCCATTCATTTCATCATGCATCAGGATATTGGACAGAAATTGTCAGAAATTGGAGGCAGGTTGGATCATCCACGTCTCACCAAAGAACTTGCCCAGGAGATTGAAACTCTATGGAGAGATGCTGCAATTCAGGTAGCCAGTTCATCAAAGATATAGTTACTATTTCCCTGGAGTCTCTTATTACTACAAAGTTTGTTTTCTATTTTTCCTAGTATATCATTTAGACTAAGGTTTTCATTTATGGTTTTGAATGATTCATTGCAGTTATTAATGTTAATGTATACCTGTAGGAAACATATGCCCGTGGTAATGAGCTCCAAGTTCCAGATTGTACCCCTTATTTCATGGATAATTTGCAAAGATTGTCTGATGCAAATTATATTCCAACTAAGGTATCTAAAATTTATGTTGTTTCCTTATCCTTTCCATGTTATGTGAATGTTGCACATCCTGTTTGCAGAATTAGTTTATCAGCACGAGTTTTCAGTTATTAATGTTTACAAAATGCATATACTAAGCAATGTCACTGTAGACGGCATGGTGTAAGGGTGCCATAATGGCATTGTCTGACATATCTATTCACTTATATTAGACTCAATGGTACTCCCTTGCCGAGTTCTACATAAAAACCTTTATTTTAGAACTTCAGTGAGCTCCTCTTCTGTGTGTGGCATGCATCCAGTTTAAATCTTGGATATGCTCAGTTTTGCTTGGTCCAGTGCAATGGTTTTATTTGGGACATTCTAGTGCTCTTATTGCCATGATGCTATTATGTTACAAAGACATTTTGCTTTATAAAAAAAAAAAAAATTCACCTGTACTTTCGGTTTTTGGATTACTTCAGCTTCTGTAGATAACTAATCAACTTTATGCATGCACCCATATGGCAGTTTTTTGTTTTTATGATATTTAAGGCTCTTTCCAACAGCTTCTCAGTGTTTATGATATTTCAGGAGGATGTTCTTTATGCGAGAGTTCGTACAACAGGTGTTGTGGAGATCCAATTCAGGTGAACATACTAATTCACTGGTTCCTGATTTTGCATTTTTCTCTATGTGTTTTTCCCTATACTGCTTTAACGTTTTAACATAGGATTACAAGGTGCAATGTTCTTGACTTGAATCAATTTAACTTAAAGGTGAACTGCACCTTATAGCAAAATATGCTTTCCAGTGCTTCCAAAATTATTAGTTTTGGTAGTCACCAGCTCATGTTGGCTATGATTTTGGCAGCCCTGTTGGAGAGAACAAGAAAAGTGGGGAAGTATATAGACTTTTTGATGTTGGTGGACAGAGAAATGAGAGGCGGAAATGGATTCATCTATTTGAAGGTGTTACAGCAGTAATTTTTTGCGCTGCCATTAGCGAGTAAGATGACCTATTTTCTTTCAACTGTTATAAGGTCACAAAATTGCTGAATTTTGGATGTCTGAACATTAATATTTGAGTATTTTTAAGTTTTCGTTTTAGTTGGAGATACTTGGCCAACTCTGGATTATGGTTAATGTAGAATTGCTTTCTTGAGATATTTGTTATTCATGATAGCAGCCATTGTCATATCCTTTGCATGCCAAATTTCCAAACTTTGCTGAGGGCATCTGGCCTATATTTTCCATAAGGACCTCTCAGAATGGCTTCAATATTTTATTTGAATATGGAAAATCATTTTAAGGGTGAAACATTGTGCTGTGACTGCCAAGTGTGTGTGTATAAATGCTGTTCCATTTCCACAGTTCATTACTTTGTGTCTGCAACACTTGCTCAGGATAGCACTGAGTTGGAGTGAGCTCACCTTCAGTTAGCATGTGAAGCGACAATTCTAACATTATAATATTTTAAGCTGAAAAGGGTGTGGTTTAACTGGTTATGTTTTCAGGTATGATCAAACACTCTTTGAGGATGAAAACAAGAATCGTATGATTGAAACAAAGGAGCTATTTGAGTGGGTCCTGAAGCAACCATGCTTTGAGGTTATCTTTTATGCCTACTCCACCCTTTACCTGTGGTCTGTTCTAAGCTCTGAATATAGACAGCTGGAAATCATTACATTTTTCATTTGGCTTTTTCTTTGCAGAAAACATCCTTCATGCTGTTTCTAAACAAGTTTGATATCTTTGAAAAGAAAGTTCTAAAAGTAAGAGCTGCTGAACAGTGCATTCTTATTTCATATAGAAAGATAGCATCAGTTTTTGCCTTTGATGTTCTGCATTGTACAGGTACCATTGAATGTATGCGAGTGGTTCAAAGACTACCAGCCAGTTTCGACTGGAAAACAAGAGATTGAGCATGCATACGAGTAAGCATTTATTTCTTACTGGTTCATTTCGTTCATTTGAGTAAGTGGGAAATGTTACTGTACCAAATAGGCAAAAGGTGTTGAAGTTTCGGCCAATAGGCCTTGTGCTTTGCTGAAAACTTGATTTGGAAGTTTCACCACCTTATGGTCGTGAACAATTGATCCCAGCCAATACTTGTGTATCTGTCAAAAATGTGTGCATTTTGCAATATGTTTGTTCGAAGTGGCCAGAACCAGCTAACCTTTGACCTTCCTTATTGATGCGATGGAAGTTTTGCCAATTCTTTTTTCATGGTTCCAAAGATTTGATGGTCGTGATTAATGATATTATTATTCATCAGGTTTGTAAAGAAGAAGTTTGAGGAGTTGTACTTCCAAAGCACGACACCTGATCATGTGGACCGGGTATTTAAAATATATAGAACTACTGCACTTGATCAGAAGCTTGTGAAGAAAACTTTTAAGCTTGTAGACGAGACTTTAAGACGCAGAAATCTCTTTGAAGCTGGTTTATTGTGACCAGAAGAAGCACTTGCTTTACAAGGAATGTTCATATTTTGAAGGACTTGATCAGGTTCTGAATATTAGAGTTGGAAGAAACACCACATCTGTTGACTGCTGGAATCATACTCTCACGGACTAAAAGTTTTGGCATCATTTGTTTTCTAGGCACCGTCGAAGAAAGAAGATTTTTTCCCCCCATGATTGTATTGTCTGCTTAATTTTCTGTAGAAAAACCTATTCAGGGGATCTGTTCTCTTGCACGTTCTGTTTTCTTTCAAACATATGAAAGTAACCTTATATTCTTTGTATCCCAATACAAGCCATTCCATATTTACTCTTGCCCATCTTCTTGAAACCATGGTCTCGGTTTTCAGAAATTGCCATCTTTGTTGTCAATACTATATTGCTATCAGAAAAAAATGATTCTTCTAAGTTTGGTTTATGTGCTTGAGCTCATTCTTGAGGGTTTTTTCTTTCTAAATATTAGATATTGAATCAAGGGCGAATGTTGTGGATGCCTTTTCTGGAGATTAACAGTCTAGATTGAACTAAATCTAAGTTGGATTAAGAAACATGATGAGTTTATTAAACAAACTTAAAAAGATATTATAGAGTTGCTTGTTCAAATGCGATCGGTCCTCTTTGGACCTCTGTCTGCTTCAACTTGCATCATCACGTGTCAAACTTTCCCACATGTCATCTTCAAGAAAAACAGTATAAAAGACAACTGGCGCGAAGCATATGTACGAAGGGTTTGGGAAGGTCCGTGTTCTCTTGTCACTTTTTTCTTCCTCGTTTTTTTTTTTATACTCCTAAGTATTATTCTGTAATTAAAAATTAGACTAGTCTTTCATTATTTTATTAGATGGATAAGACGAAAATAACTATTAAATTATATATATATAAGAATTTAAATTCAAAAACATTTGCTTAAGCAATTAATTCATTACTTTCAAACCAATCTTTTTGAGTTTTTTTTTTTTAAAGATAAAAGAAAGTATTATTAAGTAAGCTTATACTTGAATTATTATTCGAAGGATTTTAAAAACATGTTTTTTTAATGTATTCAGAAGAATTTATTAAATCTACAATATTAAATAAATAAATAAATGTTTTTACCACCAAACCAATTTTTAAAATATTTTTCTTGTCACTTTCAGCGTGTCCATATTCCAAGGAGTTTCGTAGCACTTTCACGAAATCATATTCGTGGGAAATATGAAAGTTACAAGCAATTAGCAGATGCCGTCTCTATCAAGGTAGCTTCAATCAAGTAATCAGCAGATGCCGTCTCTATCGAAGTTACTGGTTATTAATAACACACTAATTTTATTAATTGTCAAATTTGTCAAAATCAATTGACAGACAACCACAGGAGTGCTTCCTCTCTTTTTTCTTTTTTTTTTTTTAAATATACCCCATATCGATTTAGCGTATCCAAAAAAATTACTTACCTCAAAAGTATTGATTTTTTTTTTTAAAAGCACACTTCTTGATCATCAGAACAAAACGTTGACATTAACACAAAAAGTTCTTGATGATGTATAGATTTTTTTAAAAAAAATGATGGAAAGTGACATAAAATGTGATAATTAAGAGTCACACTAGCATGATTTCAAGATTTCCAAATGTATTAAGGCATCACAGCAATAAAAATTATTATTCTGACATCATTCGAAATGTAAATATAATCTAGATATCCCAACAAGAATATCAATTAGGAAGGCAAAGATTGAAAGACAGGTGCGTACGTCCTCCCTTCCCAATGTGTGGATTGGTCGGTGATGGGCTCAACAACATATATCAAAGCAAAGCATTGCCGATCGTGTCGGCAAAAGCTTTCAAGCAGACCAATTAAATAGATTCCTACAATCCTATTCATATTAACGTTAGGTGCTCTGTACTCAAATAATGTGAGAGCCACGTTCGTTGGTTCTCATCATATTAATGTTACTCTTTTTTTCTTTCAATGATCAAGCTACTTTCGGATCTGTTTTCCAATGTATATCATACCAAAACTATAGAATAAGGACAGTTCAATGCCAACAATGCAATAAGTGTAAAGGGCTAACACGAAATTAAGTTTAAGATAAAGAAGGATATATAGAAAAAGAATTGAGTTATTCTTTGGTGCCAAATGCATATCTAATGTGAAACAATCTTCAAATCTAAAGTTCTAACTGAGAAATTTTAAAATTTTGGGATTGCTCTTAATTCTTAATAAACAATTCAAAATTAGATTTACAGAGGAAAGTAGTTTTATAAAACGAATAAACTAAATTAAATTAGGTTTTTTTTTCTCTTTCTATTATTTTTTTAAACATATATTATGGATGTGAGGTCATGAGTTTGACGCGTAAATAATTTTATTTTTTAATTAGAATAGAATATTTTAGTTAAAATTACGTATCATATAACTAATGTGTTCTACAATAATGAATTTTTAAACTATTGTATCGAATTACTTAATTATAATGAATATAAAAACGAATTCGTTAAATTATTTTAACAAAAAAATTTAATTTACAAATTTCATTCAAACACAATATCTTCCAATAAAATTCTCTCCTTTTTAATCCAATAAAACACAAGCTGTCTAGGTGGAATCTAGAAGATTTCTTTTCACAGCTTCGTTTTTAAATACTTGAAATAACTATCGGTTTAAGAAAAATAAGAAATATGGAAAATACCTTAGTAGTATATGAAAACAAATGGATTAATCCAAGGATAATAATCCCAAGTGTGAATAGCGTAACACTATAACATGGATTCCAACACATCGATTTGTTTATATTGCCAATTTTGATGACATAATAATTAACAAATCAACATATTAATATCTCATTTCAATTTATTTGTTGACATATTAAACAATATGTTAACTTATTGATTACTATATCAATAAATATTCATAAAACTATCGCTAATTTATCAAAAGTTTTTCTGAATTTTTGATCAACTTAATTGTAAATTTTTTTTTCATTTTCTTTTAATTGTTTTAATCTTCTGAATTACCACATCAAAACAATTGACGGCAAAGATAATCATTTAAATTAAACATTGCCAAATCTATTTTTAATCCATCAAAACAGTCATTTGTTTATTAATAAATCGACATTAAAAAAAAGAAGTCCGAGATTAAATTTGACTTGACTAAAAATTTAGGAGGTATCCAATTAATATAAAATTATTGGCATATTCTACATCCACGACATAGCATTCGACATTAGAGCATTTGGTGCCCCTGCCAAACGGTCGTGTCTTAACCAATGGTCTGAATACTAATAATAATTTTCTTGTTCAAGATGTACTCCCTTCTAGTTGCAACCCAAACAAAAAATATTTTTAACTTTTGAAAACAGAAAATAAAAAATAGAGGAAAGATTCTTAAAATTTTCAGACACAAAAATGTGCTTAAATTTCCAACAAACTTTCGACTCAATTCAGGTGAAACGACAACAGACTTTTGATTCCCACGTGAAGAGAAAAAGAAACAACAAAAGAAATGTAGTTGGATGCCGAACCAGTCTACATGCACAAAAATTAAAGACCAAAGAAGATGAAAATCTCTGACTCTCATTACTTCATTATTTGGCTGTCAAAGTCCCAAAACTTTGTAACTCCATTTTTCTTTTTTTCCAATATATATATATATATATATATATATATATATATATATATAGTAGCTTTCAATGAAAAGTCTATTTTGATTGTGAATCCACCGCGGCTTGTTCTCCTTCTGAAACCAAAGAATATTCCCCCTCTTCTCTCTTCTCCGTCTCCTCTTCTCTAAAATAAAACTAGATCATATAGGAATTTTTAAAAAGGAAACCCTAATTTGAATTCAGCTGAAAGAATCCTACAAAACAACATCATTTTTGCTTTTTGCTACCTCTTTATCCCTCCTTTCAAAAAACTTCATTCTCGAATATAAGGTATGCATTCATTAATTTCTGATTACTTGCACTTGATCATTGAGACAAAGAAAGGAAGGAAAAAATTGAACGTTAATGCTAAGGTAAAAAGAAATTGTTTGTAGGTGTGATTTGCCTTTTCTTGGTGGGATTAACTAATAAATTTGTGACCTTTTGTTTTCTTTGTTTGTATTGCATCGTTGAGTTTATATGTGATTCCGTTCATCTCTTGAATTCTTATATGTTGATTCAGTCCATGCTAAGATGAATATGTGATCCTAAAGTTTGCTTGTCTTTACACATTGATTGATCCTATTGAAAATAATTCCCTGGTGCTGTTAAATTACGTGACATCAATTTAACAAAGAACCATGGTTATTATATGTAATCAACTGACATTTTTTTTAAATGTGGGTGTTTTCCATAATGTCGACACGATTTGTTTTCAATGACTAGTCTCTGAAGAATGAGAATCGGCAATGTAGCATTTACATTTAGAATTCAAGTATTCGCATACATCATTAGATGTTTTGTTTATTTGAACTCATTGCAATTTGAGCTTTTCGACTGATTATTTATTCATGCAGGTTTTTGTGCATCTGTGAGACCTAGTTTCTTCTATAAAAGTTTCACACTCCTGAATTGGGAGCAATAATGAGGAACAATTGGTTGTTTTTTGTGGATTTAGATGGAGAATCTCAATATATGTTTCCCTTAGAGCCCCTATTTTCACAAGGCTTTGGGGCTAATCTATCTTCTCAAGTTAGTTCATTTGTTGACAACCCGTTGCACCAATCGAGATTCATACATATTCCTGGAACCATGGCTTTTCAAGAAGCTTTGAACAGCATGTCGAAACTTGCTGGTGGTTTGATTTGTTGGTTCACTAGCGCATCCAGTTCAAATTTGAGTCGGAAAATATCTGGCAATCAGCGCTCTCGAGGACCAGGAAGCTGTAAATCTTCTGCACAAGTTAAGAACTCTACTGGACATAATCTTGCTGGGTTAGGCTTTGGTTCTATATCAAAAGGAGAGTCTTCACCTCCTGTGATTTTTAGTAAGATTTCAAGTTTCATGATGCGGCTTCTACACAGGGATGCTGAAAAACTTAAGTCTTTCCCTGTGCTCTCATTAGCTGCTGCTCTGGTACCACCATTTGACAACTTGTGAGTCATTTGATATATAATCAAATAAGTTGCTTTCTCTGTACTCAGTGTTTTTTAGCTCTACTTCTTGCACTTTATGTTGTTGTTTGACTATCTAAAGTTTGATTTCTTCTTATTGGTCATCAGATCTTCAAAGGTACTATCTATTCCTCTGGAGAATGGTGATGTACAAGTGCAAGCATCAATAGATCAAAGGCCTTGTGAAGTTGAGCATCGTGGATGTCCAGGCCTCCCAATTCCCGATTTAAACTGGACAAGGCATGCTGTTGAGCCTAGAACAGGAATTGAGTTTCCAATGTTTTTGGACAACATCTTAGCTGGACAGAACAGATCTAGATTAACTTCAGAGGTAAATATTTCTAAACTTCATGTCATCGCATGTGTGTGTGTTGTCAAAGCTGGATAATAGGGACCTCTCTGTGCTAACAATAATGCTAACAATAACTTGATATAAATAAATTGTTTATGTTCTGGTTGGTGTTCCATGAGGGATCCTTACTTTCAAAGTTCACTAGAAATTAGGGGCCTCAAATTCAAATATCTTATCACAATTTGAATTCCAATACGTCCTAGTTAATTGTTAAGCTTGAAATATTATCTGAAAATTGGTGCCTACATTGACTTTGAGGGTTGCTGTCTTTCTGTTTGAGAGCACTCCTGTCATCCCTCTTGCTTTTGCATCATTGCGAACATTTTCTACATGCTTTATCAGGTCCTTGTTGGTACTGGATCCAGAACTATGACTATAATCAGAATAAAGACTATGAAGATTTATGCATTTGGTTTTTGTAAGTATTTTACATTTCAATTGTGGATTTTTTTTTTTTTTTTATTTGTTTGTTTATATCTTTCATGTCTTTCTATTAGTGATCCTTGTTATTTCTTATAGATGTTCATCCTAACTCTGTCTGCGAAAAACTGGGCCCAAAGTATGCTTCTATTCCAATGGGTGAATTAAATAAACGCCATGACTTTTACAAGGATCTCCTCAGGTATATAAACAGTGGCTTTGCTGAACACAATGTTCATGTTTGATATTTTTAAGTTGAAATATTTCTGCATCATTATCATTCTTTTCCTTTTCTTTTTTTATAAATCAAGAGAGTGAAGCTTTCAGGTAAACTCTCGTTAACTTTTCGCTCCATTCCAATTTTTTAATCCATAAAATCTATCTTTTTTGAAGTTATATCCAAGATCTAATAAATCTTCTAGGCTAAGAATGTTTTCCTGGAGCTTTAATTTAGCAAATGATATTTCTATGGGAAGTTGGTTTTGTAATATGAACAAAAAATTAGGCAGCCATGGAGCATTACTAAATTACAAGATTAGAAATTTGCAAGGATATTGCTTTTCACGTGCTTAATGTTTTTGTATATTTATTATGTTAAGCGCATGCCATGGGTTGTTTGCTGTCATTCATGTACTTGGACTTTTTCATTGTCATGGCTCTACAACCCGATTAATGCACTTCGATGAATTTTTGGATAATGTTCTTATTCAAGTTCTTATGAGGATATTGCAGGGAAGACATCTCTATGACTATCCGGCTTGTGATTAACTGCAATGGGATTAAAATCAATACTGTTAAAGAGTAAGTCAAACTTCGTTTGTGTGTATGCTTGGGAAATTTAGTAGATTAGTCCTCTGATTTCAGCAACACCTTGGTGTAAGCTGGACATTTTCAGCGTAGTGTTTGTAGACCTATTATTTAATGGATTATTTTTATTGCGGGAGGATGTCATCATTATATCATCTATTAGTGGCTTAATTAGAATTTTAGGATTCTCTGGGACGATGGAGGATTTTGTGTGAGATAGTGTGTGTAAATAGAGTTTCCTTTCATTTTCTAATGGTTGAACCATTTAAGTTACCCTCTGATTTTGCTGGGCTACTAACAAAAAGATGCAATGGGTAGTTGGGTCTCAGTTAGGCATATTGAAAACCTTGACGCGAGTTTGCTCATGCTAAGTTGATAATGCAATCAGGTTATAATTTTTTAAATTCAAATTGTGTAACCGCTACACTTACTGAAGCTAGATCTTATAGTAGAACATAGATTATTTACATGTCCAGCAAGTCTGAGCTTCACATAGAATAGTTTTTCCCCTGCTTGTCAGAGACTTGTTAACCATTTATTCCCTGAAATCATAGATGTAGTAAGATTGATGTTAACAAAAAAGCATCAACACTCACATGCTTTCATCTTATGTGCTTGCAGTGCTTTTGAGAAATCGCTTCGAGACCGTTTATTGAAGGTAATTTTTTCAACCCATAATCTTTTTGTTTTTATTTATTTATTTTTACAATATGAGGAAAATTTTTATTCAGGATTCTGATTCTCTAAAATACTTTCTTTGACATCTCTCAGACAAACCCAGATGCTGATTACCATTGCCTGACAACATTTGGTTCATTCTTCACAAAAGATATTCCACTACCAGCGGTAATTTTTTTCTGGTGTTTGCATCCCTTCTCTTTACCTCTGTCCATATTCACCGGATCGCATCAGGTTTAGATGGAATTTGTGCAGGGTACGACAGTTGACTTTCGACGAACAGCTGATGGGCAACTAATTACTGAAAGTAAGTAATTATGGATTGGAAATCTTATACTCTATATACATTGTTGTTGGAGTTAGTTTAGCTGCATCTCCTTACAGATGCTGAGAGAGATTGAAAAGGATTACAATAATAGTTTATAGTTCTCTGTTTTCTCAGTGGGACGTCTAATTCTCCCTTTTTTTACCTACTTGATCCTTTAATCAATGAATTTCTTTTTGTCAAAAAAAAAAAAAAAAGGGGGAGAGAGAAGAAAAATTGTCACAAGCCATGGACATGAACATATTTATAATGGGGTCATCTGTCCAGTGGCTTTCCATTTTGGTGTAAAACAAGAAGGCCCTCCTATATTATACCTCATGGAGGTGCATGAATGATCTAACAATATCTTTTCATTCGTAAATTGCACATTTCATTTGCAACTTACAGCAAAGATTCTATTCTTGCAGTTGGAGGTAATCAAATTGGAGCAGTTCGTAGCAAGGATTTATGTAGTGAGTGAATTGTCCTCCTTCTTGTCTGTGTGTGTGTGCGTCTCCATTAGTCGATTAAGTCGCCAACCAACATTTTCTTGAGATTTTGAGAGGAAATTCATGCATAAAGAAAGAGTGAAGTTGGGATGGGGGATGGCGGATGACTTATGTTTTGGAGGTCAAGATTCTAACTTTCAGTTTTACGTGACAGGGGCTTTCTTTGACATGTACATAGGAGATATTCCCGTCTCGGAGCAAACGAAGGAAGAGATTGGCAAGAATGTTGCCAGCATTATTGGGAAATGCTAAGTTGATCCAATAAAGCTTCATTGTCTCAATTTTTTATTTACGAGAAATTGGCTGCTGATTCATTGAACTTGTGGATCCCATAATTTTGTGAGTAAAAAGATCTGTTGATGATGAGCCTTTAAAACCTGGTTGTGGCCCAGCTGTAGGAGATCTGAATGCACTGGGGTGTGCAGTTAGGGAGTGGTTGGTTGGGAGGTCATACATGTTATACGACAATAGATTTAGTTCAATCAAATTTGAGATTAAGTAGGGAACATAACTACCACAGTAGCGATTCTTTGTAGCTTTTTTCATGGGGCTTTGCTGCCCCGAACTAGTCGATCCAAGTTAGTACAATTATCATTCGGATACAAAGAGGAGAGATTATCGTAAGTCATGTTGTCGCTGCTGCGTTGATATAAAGACCAGAGTTTCTTTAACACAGGACGCACTATTGCTTGTAGACGCTGGCTTTTATTGCTATTCATTCAGACCTGCGTTTGGAACAAACTGCTCTTATATATTAGCCTCATAGGGCACGTTTTGTGATCACTTGTTTGGCTGGTGGGAGTCCTAATTGTGCTACAAAGCCAAAACCATCAAACAATGGTCGCCATTTTATGTTGTGAATTTGGGATAGATTAGTGTCCATCTAAACTTTGGTAAAATGGTTTATGAAAGATACAGTATAAGATCACCCTTTCCTATCTCTAAATTTGGTGCTTGCTATGGTTAAGCATAGTTGAGCTTTTTTATAAGAAATAAATAGATAAATAAATAACTTCAAGCATATTTAGCAAATTACGTTGGTGGAGCAAAGGAAAAGAATAAGTATCAACTATTGAAGAAACAACAACATTATTAATATTTTTAAAAAAGAAAATTATTATTATTATTATTTCAATATGTTATTAGCATAAGTGCTCTACTAAAAAATCAAAATTATTTATATCATTAAGAATTATGTATTTAATTTATTATTTACTTTAAATTTAATGATAATAGAGTATTATACATTTGAAAAGCTTGCATTTTATTATTATGTTTGTTACTATTTCTTAACATTATTATATCTTGTATTCTAGAATTTTTATCACATCAAACTTCACAAAAATTTATTTTGTTGTCCTTAACATTTCGGGTAAGAATTATTTATTATGGGTACTTGATGCTCGAGATGTATTTAAATACTAATGGTATTGGACAAATAATCATGATGATAATAAAAAAATCCTTACAATTTGTGCTAAGGCAATGATCTTTTTTCGCCAACATCTCTATAAGAATTTAAAAACTAAATATTTGACAAGTAAATGATTCACTTGAACCGTGAAATTTTTTTTAAAAAATATATAGCCACTAAAAGATAGTAATTCTTTTAAAAACTCATCGTGATTGGATGTACTTAAAATTACAAGATTTCAAAATAGTAAATGAGTATAATTCTTCGGTATTTAAAACAAGTTTTCAACTAAAATTGTATGGTGAAAATATTATTGATTCGGACATGTTAGAGAAAATATTCTTTATTTTTCATGTCTCAAATATGCTCTTGCAACAACAATATCGAGAAAAAAGTTTTAAGAAATATTTTGAATTGATTTTATGATTACTTGTAGCTAAACAAAATAACGAGCTATGATAAAAAATTATGAATCCCGTCCAACTAAGTCTCGCTCCATTTCTTGAATTAAATTTGACAACTTTTAATAATTCTAGACGTGGATAAGGATGCAATCATAGCCGTGGATGTATGTGCTCGTGGCCATAGCTATAGTAGTGGTCGAAATAATTATTATTATAATTGTGTCGGCTATAATAATACATATCAACATAAGAAGTGTATATGTATATAACAATAAAAGTGGACCAACTTAGTTTTTTTAAAAAGGAATGTTATAGATATAACATGAAGGGCTATTGGTTGCATACCTACCGTATGTCAAAGCACCTGTTGAGATTTATCAATTCTAGTTGAAAAAGAAAGAAAGTAATATAGAGGCAAATTTTATATATCAAAATTGATTTTGATAATGTTTCTTGATGCGAAGCTAGATTGATGAGCCCACAAAGGATAGGAAACTAAAAGGGAAAAAGGAATTAAGATGTAGGAAAGACAGGTCTCGGGATGTCACTTAACTAGGGGTAGCATATGCCACTCAATGCTACTAATCATAGAAGCCACTCGACGTGACCAAGCCAATCGCTTGATTGGTTTAGGAGGAATCAATCGACTCCTAACAAGGATTCTTATTAGATAAAAGTTTTTCTATTAAAATAAAAGTGATCGTCTTTCATTCCGATTTCATGTATAAATAGAACAAAAGATGATCATTGCGCTTCCTAACAATTAAAGCTATAGCATGTTTTTAAGAAGAGAATTTAAAGGATAATTCAATTTCCTATGAAGTGTGCTAGTTTCTTACAAAGTTTTATTGAAACCACATTAAATAAGACTCCTAATATAAATGAATTGTAAAAATCGAGGCTATATTTATGTTACCGCATCATTTCTCTTGATAGTTTTGGTAATTTGACACATTTAGATTTTATTGAATTTTTAAAAAATTCTAAAAGAAAAGATCATCACATTAATGATGATAATTGAAATTAATGACTTGTTAGTTTCTCTATTTATAAATAAGATGTTTTATGTTTTCTTGTAATTTCTATTGCACGATGATAGTTATAAATTTCTTCGTTATATATTTGTTTGTTTATTTATTTATTTATTTATTTATGAAGAATATATAGATACTACCAAGTCTATAATTGGTTTGACAACATAGATGAGAATTTATATCTTGTAGATAGTGTGGCAACGCATACTATACTTAAAAACAAAAGGTATTTCTCTCATTTAATAATGGGCAATGTTAATATGATATATGGTAATGTCAATTTAATTAAAAGCTATAGAAGAGCAAATATATTATTATCCGAATGGATAAATTTTATTATAAATGATGCATCATTCTCTCCTAAGTTCTATAAAAATTTGTTGAGTTTCAAAAATATTCATTTAAATGGATATCATATTAAGATAATAAATATTAAAAATATTGAATAATTATATATTACAACTATTACATTGGGTAGAAAAAATATATTATAAAAATTATCCCTTTTCTCATCCAACCTTTATTACACAAATATTCGAATGATTAAAATAAATGCTATAGTAAATAAAAAATTTACTATTTTTTTTATTTTGTAACATGATCGGCTAAGCCATCCTAGGTCCATCATTCCGTAAAAAATTATTAAAAATTCATATAGGCATCCATTAAAGAGTTAGAAATTTTTTTTAATCTAATGAATTTTCATGCATATTCTCAAGGGAAATTGATTATTAAACCATTACCAAGTAAAATTAGAGTTGAATCCCTAATATTTTTAGAATGTATTTAAGGTAATATATGTAGACTATTTAGATATTTTATGGTTTAAATAGATGCATCCACAAGATAGATAAATGTATACTTATTATCAACTCAAAACTTGAGATTTTCGAGATTGCTTCTCAAATAATTCGATTACGAGCATAATTTTTAGATTATGTAGTTCATGATTATTACATGTCTATTAGAATAAAGATTAAACATATGTTACTTATATTCATGCTCGAATGGTTTAATATAATTATTTATTAAAAACCTCTAATTGATAGATAGACCATCACTTACAAAAACAAAACTCTATATTTATCTATGGGGATATGCAATTTTACATGCAATAATACTTATTTGAATCGAGCTCATAAGTTATTAGAAATTCTCATTCTTTCAATTGGTTTTTGGTTATAAGCCTAATTTTTCTCATTTAAGAATTTTTAGATGTATAGTATATGTCCTATTATTCCTCTACAATGAACTAAAATACGCCCTAAAAGGAGATTAGAAATATGTATTGAATATGAATCTTTTTTATAATTAAATATCTTGAACCAAGTAAAATAGAATATTTTCATGGCTCAATTTATCAAATGTTATTTTGATGAAATAATTTTTTCAATATTAAAGGAAGAGAATAAGCAGAATAATCGATTGAAAATATTAGAAAACAAATCACATGAAACAATCTATCTTTACACCATTTTGATTTTTGCATAAAAAGATGTAAACTAGAAGTTCGGAGGATAATTCATTTAGAAAATCTTGCAAACCAATTGACTTATGTAATCTCTAATATAGAGAGAGTAACTAAAACATAGGTTCTCGCTAGGAATGCTCCTATTAGAATTGATGTTTCAAGTAGGACAATCTATTAATGTTATAGCAAATAAATCTAAAATATGCTTGAATCGTGAAAGACCAATTGGTTCTAAATACAAAAATTCTCAAAAAAAGAAGAAGATAAAAATATAAAGAAGTTAGATATTTACAAAACAATTCAAAATATTTTTTATAATAGACTTCTGAAGAAGTCCAAATGCTTAAAGAAAATTAAAAAAAAAACTTTGATAAATTATGTTAACATAGGGAGACAATGCAATAAAAAAAACATATGTTGATCACATTTTTGCATATAATATTGCAATCGAGATATTTTAAATAAGGATTTTGAACCTAAATCTATTGAAAAATATCGACATAGATATGATTCACTTAAATAAAAAGATGCAATCCAGACATAATTAAATTCTCTTATAAAACAAGCGCGTTTTTTACCCATAGTCAAAACATCTAAAGATGTTAAGATAAGCTAGTATAATATAATTTGATATTTGTATGAAAATAACATAAAAAAGATAAAAATTTGAGATACAAAGCAAGACTTGTAGCACAAGGATTTTCTTTAAGACTTAATATTGACTATGATAAGACATATTCTCGTGTAATAGATGTAATTATATTTTGTTATCTTATTAGTTGACAACACATAAAAACTTCATATACATTTAATGGATGTGATCACAAAATATTTATATAGTTTACTTGATAATGATATCTATATGAAAATTCTAGAAGGGTTTAAGATTCTCGAAGCATGTAAATTATATTTTCAAAAATACATATTTAATTAAATTATAAAGATCTCTATATGAATTTAAAAAATTTGAATATATATAGTATAATCGTCTTACCGAGTATTTGTTGGAAGAAAATTTTAAAAATGATCCCATTTGTCAATTCGTTTTTATAAAGAAATCCAATTTGTTGCTACCCAACGTTCATGGAACTCTCAAAATTTTATGGTTGGATAGAAAATTTTGTTTGTTTAGGGATATAAGTTATTATTAATTTTGAAGTTACCGCCTAGTATTAAAAGAACTAAAAATCTAAAATTGACACTAGTCTAAAGATTCTAAGGTAAATAGTTTGTTATGCCTTTACAAAAATATTAATCACCAAAAAGCATCTTTTTCTTGGAAATGTATCACGTTTGATTTAGTCCTAAATTTTATCTCCTAAAAAATTCTATTTTTGCTAAAACATAATCCTAAGTCAAAATTTCAAGTTTTATTTCCTATGCTAAACTATTTTTTTATTTAGCTTGTGGCATCATATTGAATCGATTATTAGACCCCGCCATCAAGAGTTTTGTCAAATCAACATCAAATCTAGTTTAAGTCTCGACATAACCGATATGGTGGAGAACAACTTAGTTATTACAATGTGATTGATTTGAGTTAATATCGGTCTCTATTAGACATGGGACTCGATAAATTTTCACCAATCATTTTCTATCTCTCTCTCTATCATTTTTTATTTTTAATCTAAAATTTTATGTCTCTTTTTTTCTTTATCATTTTTTATTTTTTTATCATTTTTTCTTTCTATTTTTTTTTGTTTTCTAATTGGTGGGGAATTCTTATCAATTCCTAAAAATTTAGGAGACTCGACGAATCATTCACTTATTAATTATCTAATCTAATAATTGAAATAAAGCCTAAAAACTAGATATTGAATAAGTAATTAAATAAATGTAAGAAACTCAAAAGATTCAAAATATTAAATCTAAACTAGAAATAAAATAAAAAAGACATGTGTGAAAAAAATCAGAATCGATTTACCTAGAAAAATGATGAAAAATTGGGTTGGGCCTAAGTCGAGACTGGTTAATCTTTCAAGTCCAACCCCTTTTCTATTTCATTTTATTTTAGCCAGACCCAACCCACTATGACAATCAAGAAGTGGTGCATGCGTGTCAAAGATTTTTTGTATTTTTAGCTTTTTTAGAAGGTTCACTAAATTTGAGGCTACATAAACGGGTACCCTTCGATTCATCCAACCCTTCCGCACCCTAAAGAATTTCAAATTAAAATCCAATTAAGTAATTAAGGTAAGATTGTCCCGCTACGTGCATGGAACTTTCTCTATATTTAGCCATTAGCATCACCAAACAACCTATAATAAGAGCCTAAATACCATTTGATCATATATACCAATTAATATTCTGTTTGTAATCTCTCGTCCTAAACCCTCTAGAAACCTCACATTTCCTTCCTCGAATCTCTCCATTAAGCTAGCACAAACACACGCATATATACAAACTCACCATCCCATATTCCCACCAACACCAACCATTATATTACTGGCAGCTAAATTCTTTTCTACACCATCACATTTATGTAAAGCAAAACAGAAATAACTAGCTGAAGCCATTTTAACCGATAGAAGAAACTAACCGGCTCTTTCTTTGCTTTATAGAACCCACATCCATTCGAGCAAACACATCCAATTCTCTATAAATCATTTCCTTTATCCCTCTACTTGTTCTTGGATTCGCTAATAGATTCTTGAATTCTGAATTTGGAAATTTTTTGGTCTTCATGGGTACCTCTATGAGATCATGGATGGCCATTATGATAATGGCTTGGCTTAATCTCTTTCAAGGAATTTTTGTGGCCGTTGAGGCTACTTTTAACTACAAGGATGCCCTTACTAAGTCCCTTATTTTCCTAGAAGCACAAAGATCAGGAAAACTTCCTCCAAACCATAGGCCACAATGGAGAGGAGATTCTGGCCTTGACGATGGTAAACTTGCAAATGTGAGTCCTCTTCCTAATTTCTCTACGATATTATCGATCAACGTTGCATGAACAACTACCTTAGTCAATTATGAGCTTTGCTAATGATTTAAATTATTTTGCATGAACTTGTTTAGGTGGATCTTGTTGGGGGATATTATGATGCAGGAGACAATGTCAAATATGGACTGCCAATGGCTTTTACTGTTACCACTCTGGCCTGGGGTGCTCTCGCATATCACAAAGAGCTACATGCCACAGACGAATTGCGTCACGTGCGTTCTGCTATTAAATGGGGCACGGATTATTTTCTTAAAGCCAGTTCCAGGAAGAAACGCTTGTACGTGCAGGTAACGTATATAATTTCTCATATTATATCATAAATTATCAAGTTCAATTTGAAACCAAATAATTTTGTAAATAATTGTTTGTTGGATGCGCATTACAAAGGTGGGAGATCCAGTGCTGGATCATCAATGTTGGGTTAGACCTGAAAATATGAGGACATCAAGAACTGTGTTGAAAATTGATGAGAATACCCCAGGAACGGAGATTGCAGCTGAAACCTCAGCTGCAATGGCGGCTTCTTCCATAGTTTTTAGACACACTAATCGTACATATTCCCGCAGACTCCTTAACAAAGCCAAGACGGTAGGTTATCACATTTGTCCTTTCATTAGTGTGTTTTTATCTATCTTTTCTCTTCTTCTTCTTTTCTTCCCCTTTTATATATCTTATGTGAATGACGTTTTCTTTTTTCATGTCCGTTCTTTTTCAGCTGTTTGAATTTGCTAAAGCACACAAGAAAACCTTTGATGGAGAATGCCCATTTTATTGCTCTTACTCAGGCTACAATGTAATCTCTCTCTCCCTCTCCCTCTCCCTCTCTCAAGTAAAATAAATATAGTTTATTGTGAGTTAAATGTGGGATGCTACACAACCAAGGTGGAGATGGCTAGATCCAATGGTCTAAAAAAAGAATCCAAGAATATCGTTATTTCTTGAAAGATATCTCTCCTAACCAACCAAAGATGAGGCAGTTCATTTATAAGCATACTGAGAAATAAATGTTTTAATTAAGATAGTGAACTAATGATGGAAATGCAGGATGAGCTGTTGTGGTCAGCAACATGGCTGTACATCGCAACCAAGAAGCCTATTTACTTAAAGTACATCCAAGAAGAAACCACCAGTGCTACTGTGGCTGAGTTTAGCTGGGACCTTAAATACGCTGGAGCCCAAATCCTCCTCTCTAAGGTGAGGATCAACTCTCTCTCTCAAAACAGTGACTAGTTTCACTAAAATATGGTTCGCTAGTACCTTTATAAAGCTAATTAATTACATTAATTGTTACTTGATATAATTGCAGCTATATTTTGAGGGAATGAAGGATTTGGAATCCTATAAGAAGGATGCTGATAGTTATATATGCTCGGTGCTCCCTGATAGCCCCTACCATCAGGTATATATCTCTCCAGGTGGTATGATCAACTTGAGAGATGGGGCCAACACTCAATATGTTACCAGCACAGCTTTCTTGTTCAGTGTCTACAGTGACATCCTTGCCAAACACGATCAAAAAGTACAGTGTGGAAACCAAGCATTTGACTCTACCCGCCTCATGGCATTTGCCAAGCAACAGATAGATTACTTGCTAGGGAACAACCCTGAGAAAAGATCATATATGGTTGGGTTTGGACAAAACCCACCAGTACAAGCACACCATAGAGGCGCTTCTGTTCCAGTGATGTCCAGTGATACAATAGTAAGCTGTGGCATGAGCTTTGCTAAATGGTTCACCAAGGATACACCAAACCCTAATGAACTAACTGGTGCCATTGTGGGTGGACCTGACCGGTTCGACAACTTTGTTGATAAGCGTTGGGATTCGTCTAAAACTGAGCCTTGCACATACGTTAACTCTATTGCAGTTGGTGTTTTGGCAAAGCTTGCAACACAATATGGCGGAGTCCAATAAGTCACAAATCCATTCCATCATCTGTTGTAATTTAGGGATTGATGAGCATGCAAAGTAGGTATGTATATGTTTAGTCCGAAACATTGAATTTTGCATGCGTCAATACGTACCTCCTTCTATTGGCATCAATTCCATTGACACCACTGTATATATATATATGATATGTACTGTGATTTTCAGTGGTGTATAATGTAGGGAAATTAAGTTACGGTAGTTGTGAACTATAATTGAATCTTTTGATCATTTACGATCGAGGATATGGCGCCTCCATTTGTATAAGATTTTGATTAAATTCAACTTTACAACGGAAATTCTTCTTTTATTCTGGGAATTTTCTTTTCTTTACACAAACGAAGCCGATCGAGATTGAAAATTGATCACGATGGCAACAACGAGTCTGGCAATTCCTCCCCTGTTTTGGGAAATAAGGATCAACTAGGATCTGATCGAACTTTCAACCGTTGCGCCTTCCAAGGAAATCACAAAATGGATGCTCTCCCAAGTGTGGTTTTCTTCAAGAATTCAGCCACTGGATGTGGAGGTAGAGGAAGTTGTTGGCCTCCAGCGCACGAACTTGTATTCTGAGGGTGCGAGGTAAGAGTGAGTGATCTCCTTTTATGGGTACAATAACAACCCATGCCATCACCAATAAGGATTCCGCAAGTGAAGCCACTAAAGCAACCGCAATATAAAGGGGAACAAGGATCCGAATAGAAGAGAGATGGAACTTGAAAAAAAGCACATGCTGGGTGTTGGGTTGTAGAGTTTGCCACAAGGGAAAATGGAGCGAGTTGTGCAGATATATTATTAGGAAGAGCAATTATGGGCATTTGAGATCTTGACGTACGTCGAGGCTGCTGATTGTGAGACGTTATGGGAGTTGGATTGGTTTGTGATTAATTATAAGAAGATGGTTAGCAAGATAAAGCAACAAGCTAGGTTTGATGGGTATTAACAACAATATGCATGGTTGCTACTATATATTGGCAATAATAATAAGGGTAAATTGTGTCAGAATTATTAATTAGTTAAAGCGCAAGTTAATAGTTTCTAATTAATTTATTTAGTATAAATAATATCTGAGGAAAACTTATAAGGGAAAATTTTAGTCATTGATCTGTTAAGTTAGATTAAGTTTCATCTAATTATGATTAGCAGATGACACTAAATTACTTAAATATAAATGATTAATCTCATGTGAATTTTTAGAGATGGAAAGCTAATCTAATTACTTAACAGAAAGGCTAATTTTCTTCAGAAACTTAATTTCTATATTAAATAAATTAGATTAAAACTATTTGGGCTTTAACAAATAGTTTAGGGGCTTGGCACATTTTGTCCCAATCAATATATAATAATTAAGCTATATGTGCGAATTGTTTCATTAGTTATATGGTTTTGGCGTTGATTTAATCTCGTAATTTGATGTTTCGTAGTTGCAGTGGGTAAATGATTTGTTAATGCATATTTAATTGCATGTGTAGGGCGATGTTCCAAGGAATATTGACAAATACGAAATGGTAAATATATTAATTAAATTAAAGAAGTTGAAAAAAAGGGCAATGAGATGTTGATGAGTAGTTTCCCGTACCGGTGCTGGAGTTAGTTTGAGAAGGAAGGAAGGAAGGAAGTCATGCAATTAAGTAGCTAGCATGGGTACTTCTAGTAGCTTGAGTGATGATTCATCATCTCTGAGTGGGATAACCAGCTGGCCAATTCTCTGTTTTTTGGAGTCTAATTTTGCAAACTTAGGTTTGTTACTGAAATATTGGTAATTAAACTCGAGTTAAATTGCAATTCTGATCCAGAGAGAGGATGCACATTTATGAGATTTTAATTTTGATGAATATAATATATTTGTACACACTTTCACCTTTTAAGAGATGCTAACTGTTTCAGGTTCTCTGAAATGAATTATGGATAAGATATATATGAGGCAGTTTTCTACGTAATATTGTAATTACTGACGTCGTGCGTCTAATCTAATCTTTAATTTAAGTACGTAGTACGTAGACTGATGGGGTTCTATCATGAATTTTTTTTTTTTTTTTTTTTGATATATAGTAAGGGTTTTCAATTATGTTCCACCAAAGGAGTACAAATTGGATTTGGGGAAGACATTTTACCCAACAAATGGAAATGGCAGAGTTATTTCCTCTTTCCGGGCTTCATTAGTCGTTCCAAACTTCCAATTGGATTTATTTATATGTGGTTAATTAATGGTTGTACAAATTCCTCTATCTCTATAATTTTTTTTTTTATATAAAATTCATTATTCTATATTTGATTTTTATCTTCATTTTATTTTTTTTGTTAACTTTTAGACTAATAGTGTTAACTTTTTTTTCCATCTTAATCTCATCCTCTATTCTTTGTTTTTTTGTCTCGATTTTTCTAAATAGAATTTAAATAAAAAATAAAAAAAGTGAAGATATATTTAGTCATTCTCTCTCTAAAATTAAAAATAAAATAAAAACTAGAAAAAAAATATGAAGAAACAATATTTTTTAATCAAAATATCTTATCTAGCCTTAAATTTAATTTGTCTATATCATAGTAAATGAATTTTGAGCATAAAATAAAATATTTATAGTGTTTTTTTAATGTGAAATGATCAATTTTAGTTGAATTTTTATACTTCTAAATGATATTTATAATTTTGTAATATCTCAAATGAGTATATTATAATTTACTTATTTTGATTTTCTAAATTTCTTAATTTGACTTAAAAGTGGGAATATAAATTTTTGTTAGTGTTAAAAAAATACTATAGATATTTTATTTTATGCTTAAAATTTGCTTATTATCATAGAGATAATTTAATTAAACCCCTAAATTGTATTTTAGATTAAAAAAATATTTTCAGCTTCATCTTTTTTTCTTTTAGTTTTTTTTTTTAATTTTTGAAATCTTTTTTTCAAATATTTTTTATTTATTATTTTCTAAAATTAATTTATTTAAATTTGATAAAAGAAAAAATAAGATTAACATAAAAAATAGAGTAAAGGGATGAGATTAAGGTAGAAAAACAAAATAAGTTGACATTGTTAGTATAAAAATTAAGACAAAAACCAAACGTTTAAAGATGAACTTAAAATGAAAAAACAAATAGAGGGATATAATAAACATAAAGGAAAATATCAAGGACCTATGAAACTATTAACCCTCTTATTTTTCTTCCAAACTCTCTAATACACGTGATGGTTTTATTTAAGATTTTTGAAAATCATCAAAAATTTCTTCAACTTTAATTAACTAAGAACAATTCTTGAACATTACTTAGCTAATGGAATCAAGTGGATCGAATTTTTTCATGCATGTGATAATTTTGTTTAAAATCTTCAAAAATTACCATAAATAAAGAATATTTTTTTCAATGCCTAACTTGTAATAAACTTATGTTAGCCATTTAATATCAAAGAGCAGATTTCAACTTCATCTGTTAAAATTCAAAAATTGAGATTTGAAAGCTAATAGAAGTATTGCTTTTTTATTTCGAGTTGTTTCATTCACTTTTGCATATTTTTCCTCATTATTTTTCAAATTTTGTTAAAAATAATTTCAAAGATAACATAAATAATTTAAATAATAATTCAAAAGGCTAATTAATTTGCCATGAGCTTTCATTAAATAATTAATAATTAGGGGTCGTATTTAACTCTATCAACATTTAGAGATTTACATTAAAAAACACATCATAAGCACTAGAATATTGCTAAAACTAAAAAGATTAATATAAGAGAGATGTACATGGTGGAGGTCCAATGCATTATGTATGAATAGAGATAAAGATTTGCTCATAGATGATGTATATATTATTTTAATTATTTTAATTGAAGTTATGTTTTTTTCTCATATTGATTGAATCTTTCTACTCTTTATTTTGTTAATTTTATTACTCGTTTTTCCGTTATAACATTATTAGTTTGTGGGTTTATGTAGCATAATGTTGATTTTCTTGATCGAATCGAAGAGATGAAAAATTGAAGAGAGGAAAAATTAACAAAGAAAGGTAAAGTTTGGTAAAGCGAGAAAGAGAAAGAGAAATTGATAAACTTTGTTATTTGATTAATTAAGATCGTAAGTGTACATGTTATATTTATACTAAATAATAACCTATAACTAATTAACTCGCCTAATAACAAAATAACAAATTAACAAACTAACAAACTAAAGTGCATATCATTAAAATCATTAATATATTTATAATCTAATACCCCCTCCCCTCGAGTTAAGTATGAATGTTGTTCATATTCAACTTGCCAATCAAAAGCATGAAAAGCACCGAGTTGTAAAGCCTTAGTAAACATATCGCCAAGTGTGCTCTTCGATATGCAAGTGATAAGGTTGAATAATTTCGAAATAATCTTCTCTCTTAGGAAGTGACAATCAATCTCAATATGTTTTGTTCTTTCATGGTAGATAGGATTTTTACACAAACACAAACTAGATTGATTAACATAAAAGAGTAAAACAACCTTGGTATATGAGACACCCAAATCCTATAATAAAAATAAAAGCCATATGATCTCACAAGTGACTACCGCCATTGCCCCGTATTCAACTTTATGTATCGCTATGTACAATAAGAGTTTGCTTCTTAGATTTCTAATTGATGAGAAAGCTATCCAAGAACTCAAAACCGATCTTTTGGTTTATGGACAACCAATCCAATCATTATCCGAAGACACTCTCATCCGAAGATCCGATTTGGCTAAGAAGAATAGTCCTTGACCTAAGGCATTCTTCAAGTATCAAAGGACTATATAGGTAGCTTACAAGTGATTCAAAGTTGGCTAATTCATGAATTATGCAAGGACATGAACTCGTATAGTAAATATCGAGCTTGTCGAAAGTTAAGTAAAGCAACTTACCTACCAACCGTCTATATTCGATTGGATCGTGTAAAAGACTCTCAAAATTAGACAAGAATCGTTGCTTAGGATGCATTGATGTAGAAACAAGCTTGGAATCTATGAATCCATACTCTTTCAACAACT